GACTTATTTCTACTTAAGAAGTAGTTAAATAATTAAGCAATTAGGGAATTGGGGACATAAACAAAACCCTGACGAAAGAGCCAAAATTTTACTTAAACAAAAGCTTAACCGAACCAATCTATAGCCGAGTACAGTGGGACTGATTTCTTCGAAATATTAGATGTAATAAAGACAGACATTTTTCCAGTTCAACGAGAGTGACCAAAAAGTTGGAAATTTTGGAAATTTCCGTGGACAACACCTGGTCCTAAAACAAACTAGTTAGAAAACAAACGATGGACAATCTATTAAGTTTAACATATTTAGACTTTTACAGCTATGGTGAGAAACGTTTAAAATTTACAAGAACCCTGTCGTGTCTTTTGAGATATACTAGTGATGTGAATAAACAGGCATTTGACATTGACCGGTATGGGCACCCTCTGGATTTGGCAGCCCACGTGCATGTACACACCGCACACCTAGCAGGACCGTCTCTGATTTCACTCGTTGGGAGGTATTTTAACTAAGTGGTTAAGATTTAAAGAGTAAAGAATATTTTATGTTATTTTTATGTATGTTTCATTACAAAGCTATATTTAATTGATTTGTTTTTGAAACCTTGTCCTGTTTTATATTTGTGGTGTAGTAAACACTAGTATTGTGTTTTATTCCAAAGACACGTGGCAAATTTTCCATCAAATTCCTTTATTAGTTGAGTCGATTTAAAGTTGATATAATTTCTTTCTCTCGTAGGTATAGCTTCTGCGATTGATTTTCCTATTTGTGATCTTGCTGTTGGCTTCTTTGCATTTTTGTTTGATGAGTCTTGTCGTTTCTAGTTTTTGTAGATTTGTTGATTGGTTTTTTGAAACCGTGTCCTGTTTTATATTTGTGGCATAGTAAACACTAGTATTGCGTTTTATTCCAAAGACACATGGCAAATTTTCCATCAAATTCCTTTATTAGTTGAGTCGATTTAAAGTTGATATAATTTCTTCACAGACAGGAAGAGAAAATACAAGGTGAGATAGAAAAACTTTCTATAGACTTGAAGTACCTAAAAACGCACCTCAAAGAACGAACACTCCTTAAAACACTATCTTTACCAAAATCAGTCGCAGAAGCTATACCTACGAGAGAAAGAAATTATATCAACTTTAAATCAACTCAACTAATAAAGGTATTTGATGGAAAATTTGCCACGTGTCTTTGGAATAAAACACAATACTCGAGTTTACTACACCACAAAACTATATTTAATTATAATTTTCTTTAAAAGTATATTCGTACAATTGAAGAATGTTCTGTACCAGGTATGTATATCCACCACACATTTTATTTCACCAAGTAAGTTTTTATAATTTCATATTTAATTTTAGCCCTTATATTGTGGCTAGCAATTCAGAATGTAATTGCGATATTGAAAATTTATTTTAAAAATGTTTTGGCTCAAGATCATATAATGAAAAAGAAAACATTATTAAAAGAGAAAGGTCAATGCCTAAGTTAAATATAAACACTTCAATAAAAAATTTATTTGACATTTTCATGACAAAATGGCTTTGTAAATGCATAAAAATGCAAAAATTGTTTTGTTGGCTTGCCTACTATTTTCAAATGAAATTAGTGTGTGGAATAAGAACGGCTTTGACAATTTAGCTGGCAAAAGACACGAAAAATCTTTGATTCTATCGTATTTGAAGCAATTTGGAAATCGAAGCGGAATAGAATTTAACATTAGTAAATAATATAAAATAAATATTGAAAATTATAACGAGATAGTTACAGTTAATAGATATATTGTATCTAAATAAATAGATGTTATATGTTTTTATCAAAGCAAGAATTGGCATTTAGAGGGCATATGGAATATATTGGATCTAATAATAGAGATAATTATATTGAACTTGTTTATTTATTAAGTATGTCAGATAAATAATCTATTAAAAATACATTTAGAGAATTAACTGATTGCCCCTGGAAGTCGGCTTCTTACAGAAATACAGCTTCTCTATCATTAAATGTTACGGCATGCCACTGCATTATATGTTAATGTGACAAAAATTTAAACTTGTTCTTTATATTTCCATTGTAAGTTTTTATTTTCTCAACACGAAGTTGAGTTAATATCAATCCGATAGACACAATATTCAGTGGATATTCAAATATTACAATGAATTAGGTTCCCATTACAATCAGACATTTCATCTTTTTGTGATAATTATGTATTATTCTAATTCACAAATTTTCTTACACAACAATCTTACTATCAGTAGACAATTGAAAATACAGGGGAGAGGAGGCACTATTACAGAAGAAGTTTCTCAAATTTTTGTGTTGGAAAATCATTGTCTTTTCGATTCACTATCTGCTCTTAATAGACTAGAATAGAGTCTGTTAACTTTTGTAATTCTTCCCTTGCACAGTAATTCGTTGCTTGTCATCTTTATGTTCTTCCTGTAATGGCATCAAAAATAAAAGAGAGCCCTTCTCAACCACGAGCCACTATATAATATTTCCTGCTTCCCTGCTGGGGTTTATTGCACCTCCAGACTATAACATGCAATGAAACATTCTAGAAGCTTACAAACAAAGGATTCATAACTAACAATTTAATTTTATATATAGAAAGGATGAGCGATTGTCACACCACGTTGTTCAGCCAGTTGTAACAAGTAACAGTTTGTTGAAAATTGCATAATTATTTTAGGTTTACCTTGTAAAGTTGTTAATTTAAACATTTTTAACATTAATACAAAATTGTTAAAATTAATTTGATATTATTTTATTTATCCACAATTTTTATAGTAATTATTTAAATTAATTTATTTTTATATTTTTAGCAACAAACTCAGTACCAAAACAAGTTAACCAGAGCATGTCATACAATTAGAGCTACAACATTTGGACAGGATAGATACAAAAGAAGATATTGGGTTCTTCCTTATTCAGGTGGAATATTTGTTGAAGGTCTAGAATCAGCAGATCCAGATCATGAAAAAGTGAAAATAAAATCTTGTAAAGATATTAATGACACAATAGATTTTCCTGATGATAAAATGATTACTATAGACAAAGATATAAAATTAGAAGAGACAAATACTCATTCATTTAATGAAACGGAATCTGAAGAGAAATTATGTACAGAAGATATATTAAATGTAGAAAAAATCAAAACTTCAGATATTGAGAAAGGTGTAAATAATAAAGAAATGAAAGAAGAAAACTCAACAGAAACAGAATTAAAAATTTCCACTGAGTGGATAAATCATAAAACTTGTTCGTCACCTAAACAAGGTGATGTATTTTCTCCATTTACTAATCAGTATGTTAAATCAGGGAATATAGAAAAAATGCTAGCTTCTAAATTAAATTCTTCTAATTTAGAATGTGATAAAATACCAAATTCTCTTCTTAGTGGAGATCAAAACTGGTTTTTACAATCTCCGTTTTTTGCTTCTATACTTGCTAGTAATATGTTTTTTAATGGACCATTAATACATAATAGAGAACTTAATGGTAGCTATTTTAATTTTCCTAAAGGTGATATATCATTACAAGATAGTTCATTTGGAAATTTTTTTGGTTTTTCCTCTGGATTAATATCACCTGAACAGGTGGCTAAAAATTGTGAAAATTCAAATAATCAGTCAAAACCTTGGTTTAGTATTTTACCACGAATGCCATGTGAACACAATTCTGCCGTATCACCTTTTAATTCTGAAGATAAAAAGTCATCAGAAATTCAAGTTTCAAATCATTTGAATTCTATTTCATCTATTGCATCCACCTCATCTAGTTCATCTAAACATAATGGTACACACCTACCTCTCTTTCAACATTCATCTTCAAGTAATTTAAGTTCAAATCCCAATCATGCAGCTGCTACAGCTATGGCAAACTTACAAGCTGAACTTATGAATGGTTTCTTTATTCATCCCTTTCTTGGTCCTCAACCATTTGGTCACAGTTATCAAAATGGCCCAACAATATCTAATACTTCTACATCATCTACAAATACAACTAATACGTCAATTGTTACCAATATCATAAATAATACCTCAAATAGCTTACAACTTACAAATTCAGAAATTTTATCAAATTTTGGACTACCTAATCTTCCTCCAGCTTCATCTACTCCTTCCTCTATACCTACTCCAAGTGCCACTCCAGGTCCTTCACATGGATCAGCTCCGTCATCTCAGAGAGAGACACCATCTCCATCATTTTGTAGAAAATATTTTGTTGATAAGCAAGAACAGTATGAAGAACCTCAACCTATTCCTCTTGGTAAGTTACATATACTTTATACAGTAGAGCATCAATTATCCAAAACAGTTCCAGACTGGGGTTGTTCAGATAACTGATTATGTATGAAAAAATTTATTAACCTATCCCATAAACACGTCCCGACACACAGTCTTCAGAAAAACACCACACAGAACAAGCAAAACTCTTTCTTTTTCTTGAATTTATCTGGAGATGTCAGTCACTTGGGCTATATTCTCCGATGAGCTGAAGCAAAACACACCACTCACTATGGGGGAAAAAAGCCTCGTTCAAATACTGGTACGTCTCTCAACAAGTGTAGTGCTGAATCAGAACATTTTTGATACTAGATTAACTTCCAAAATATAATTTTTTTTGTTTATTTTTCAATATATTTATTTTGTTTGTGCAAAATAAATAAATAATTTTTAATGATACAATATGGTCACGCCAGTGCTGCCAGCTAAAACATACATGCCAACAAAAATTATATTGTTATAGCCCAAGACATATAGCCAAATAATGTAGTGCACAGCACTAGCGGAAATTTGAATTTGCCGACTGGATAATCAATGCTCTACTGTAGTTTGAATATTACTAATATAGAAGTCATAGTCTATGTGTGTGTGAATTCCTTATAACTCTTGCAATTTTTGTCCAATTCAGATGAAATTTTGGTTATATTTATTTTATGTTCTGATGGAAAGTATAAGCTGCTTATTTTGTGAAAATACTAGTTAGAGAATAAATGTATTATCAATTTCAAATCAGTGATCACACTTACATTATAGTGATGTCAGTGACCACATGAAAGTGTTATCAGTAATCTAATTAATGTATATACAATTATCTTTGTTTTATCAATGTGGAATTAAAAAGCTTTGCTATTTTGTCCTTTAAAAAATGCCTAGGGGAAAGTGTAAGAGTAAAATTAGTCAGATAAATTCTACATCTAAAAGAATAAGAACTGAGACCCTAAAGATCGTGAAGTCTAATTTGAGTAACATCCAATAAGAATGGCTTTGTTAAGGGCTGCAGAAACAGCATCACAAAGTCAAGCTTGACTTGAAGCTCTTCTCAATTCTTCAATCTCTATTTTCTCATAAAAATATTCCATTATGCTTGATGGGAGAATTTCAGGGTCTAAAATATTAATGAATATTAAAATTAAGTTTAATGTAATTGAGCAGATAAATTTTCAAGTGCTAAAAACTTGAAAATGTTGATATAATTATATTAGATCATTATTACATTTAATTTGAAGATGTAACTACTACTAATTTTACTATATAATATTTTTTAAATATAAAAAAGTTTTTGTAATAAAATTGTAATGTGTTTTGAATGATGAAAATATCCTATACAAAGATCATCTATAATTTCACAAGAATTTTTAGAATTCTATAACATTTATTAACTTAAATAATGAATAATAATTTATTAAATTTTTTCAGTGATTAGTTTATTAATTACACAGTTTCTGATTCAAAACTATTAAAAACATTTTGCATTTATATAATATACAATATAAATACAGTGTGTCCAGAACAGAACTCTGGGATTTCTAGTTAGTTTCAAGTTAGTTTTTGTTTTTATCCTTGAAAGTGAATAGTGCATAAACTATACATTTAGTATAAAGATATAAAATGCACTTCCAACACATGGAGATTGTTACAAGAAGTCCCATTACTTTAACAGTTAATGTATAGTTATGACACTTTCTTATATATATTGTAATTTTTACATTTGTACTTTTTATTATCACTCATAAGTGAATGTTTTCATAGTTACTTTTTTTTTATACATATATATAATTTTACATTTTGGTATTTAAATCAACTGTTCTTAAAAATTGTTTATACAGTAGAGCGTCATTTATTCGAAAGTTGATCAACCAAAACGTCGGTTAACCAAAAGCATTTAAGTCGGACTGTGTTGTGCTGAATTGAACGTGTTTGATACTAGAGTAACTTCTAAAGTACTATTTTTTTTTTTTGTTTTTATATTTTTCAATATATTTATTTTGTTTGTACAAAATAAAGAAATAATTTTTAACAACACAATGGCCACAATTATTATTATAAAAATTTTTGTTAGGCTTAACATTGACAAAAATTCGATGCAAGCGACACGCAACAGAGAAAAATTTCAACATGGGATATTAATAATGTATTTTTTCATACATAATTGGTTATCTGAAAAATAAGTTATTTGAACAACCCAGTCACCAATTGATTCGGATAAACGACGCTCTACTGTACTTTAATTGGATCCAAGAGCATTCTAACATTCTATTTTCTTTTAAATTTGTACAAAGTGTGAACANTTATTTTATTTAATTATATTTATTTAATTATTAATTTAGTTACGAGATGGCGCCTAACGCTTACCTCTTAAGACAAATTGCTTTGGTTCTAATCATTTTAAGTAGCCATATTATAGCCCGTTATTCAGGCGATCGTTTGGAAGTTTTATATGTATACCAATCGGGCTTTATGTTGATGTTATTTATATGTAATTAATTATAATTTTAGTTTAAATCACATTTTTTACAATTAAAATAATAATCATCAAAATTTTAAATAATTTGAAAGTGATTGTTGATTGAAAGGAAGTATCATAGCAATTGAAAACAATATATTGTTAAAAATGTTTGTTTTTTATTGTTCCTATTAAATTCCATATACAGACAGATCAAAAAATGAGAAATTTGCTAATTTTCCAAAGATTAAATCTTAATCTTTTTTAATAAATTTTCTTACTACCAAGAATCTTGTAAGAATTTTAGATACTTTTTATGTTTTAAGTTACAGTTTGCATAATTATACATCATATATTGAAATAGAGGAATATAATTTAAATAATTCTCTCCTGTGTAACAAAGTCAGACATAGAGGAGTATTGTGAGTTTAATCTGTCCCATTTGGCAATTCAAACAAAAATTTTATGTATATATACATGTTTTTGTAAGTTTGCATGCATTTTGTCATATGTTGAACAGTCATAACCAATTCAGTTTTAGCAAACTCAATAAGATAATGCCTTCTGTTGTGCAGTTGCCATTTTGGCATGAACTGACAATGCACTCTTATAGCATGTTTAAGGGCATTCATAGTGACATCTCTTCACAAACAACAAAACTTCATAACGTTTCCTGTACAATGATTTGTGGAATGGTGCTATAAGTTGTTCGATTGTGGAAATATAGTCTTTTAAAGTTCAGTATTCTTTTGTAATCACTTTGTATTGTATATAAAACAAATTTCAAACATATTTTAATAAATTAGGAGAATGGTTTTTTTAATTCATTTTGTTTTAGAAATATAATTTTAGGATTTCTTTCAATTGTACATTTGTAAGTAAGAATTTTTTATGTTAAGTTATGTTGTACAATAATTTATTATATTTTATATTAACACATATTACAAACAAACAAATGTAATGAATNTTTAGCAAACTCAATAAGATAATGCCTTCTGTTGTGCAGTTGCCATTTTGGCATGAACTGACAATGCACTCTTATAGCATGTTTAAGGGCATTCATAGTGACATCTCTTCACAAACAACAAAACTTCATAACGTTTCCTGTACAATGATTTGTGGAATGGTGCTATAAGTTGTTCGATTGTGGAAATATAGTCTTTTAAAGTTCAGTATTCTTTTGTAATCACTTTGTATTGTATATAAAACAAATTTCAAACATATTTTAATAAATTAGGAGAATGGTTTTTTTAATTCATTTTGTTTTAGAAATATAATTTTAGGATTTCTTTCAATTGTACATTTGTAAGTAAGAATTTTTTATGTTAAGTTATGTTGTACAATAATTTATTATATTTTATATTAACACATATTACAAACAAACAAATGTAATGAATGAAACTAAATTTATTTTATATAAAATTTTCATGCCACAGTTTTTTCATATTTATTTGTATTTTTTATATTATAGAACTTCAGCGTGGATGGTGGAGAATTACTGATTCTGAACAACTTAAGCAATTACTTAATGCACTTCATCCTAGAGGTATTAGAGAAAAAATGCTTAAAAAACAACTTCAGAAATTATATAATTATGCTTGTGCATCTTGTTCCAAAGAAAATCATGAAGGTATTTCAAATTTTATAGAGCCTATTTTTGTCCTGATGATATTTTCTTAATTTAAAATTTATAATTTAAAGTATTTCATAATAATCATAAAAATTGAATGATGTAAAAACATTTATCAGAATTCAATAAATACTCAGATAAAAGTTTTAATCTTCACAATAACACCTTAAATCAATGAGAAACAATTTATTACATCAACAAACATTTTGAACATGCTCCACCGACCATCATCAGGTTTAAAATTCTGGAACATTGACAAATGTTCCATTACTGTACAGAACTTATTTAAAACTAGCTGCAAGGACCTGCTTCACTGGGTTTTTATTTGTGGGCAAAAAGTAACGATAGTGAAGATTAAGATAATTACATTATAGCCAATCTTACCTGTTTTCACAGAATGCAAGAGTTAGGTCCCCCGTTTCCAGACTAATTAGAGAATTTTTATGTCCAGTCAAACGAACTATTTTCAATTTGATCAATTTTCTGGAACGTTTACAATCGTTCTATAATCGAACCAATTCAAATTCAAATATGAATTCGAAAATTTTTAAAATCGAAATAGAAATCTTCCACTTTCAAGCCCATATCTCCCGCACCCTTATAGCTATCGAGACACAACCACCATAGTGCACGAATGGAGACTTGGGGCTACTACCACACACAAACACCATTCATGTGCGATGTGTAGTTTTGACTGAAAAGTGAAATATAGGGACACACACGTCCATTTATATATATATATATAGATTACAAAGATGTTCGAATGTATTGGTATTCAAATTCAAAATATATATGTATGATACAAAATTCATATATGGTTTACAATAACCAAGCAATAAAAATAAATATATAAACGAACGAAAAAGTGAGATATATAGAAGTATCCTTTCAGCGAGATGTTTGAACTATAAATATGCCATGCATGGAAGTATATCATTGAGAGGAATTTATTGGAGTCTAATCCATAGCACCTTTTTAATGTGAAAGTAACATTGTGAATGTAATTTCCCTTCTTTTTTTTTTCATTTTTATTCAGTTTGTATATTTATTTTTATTGTTTGGTTACTGTAAACCATATATAAATTTTCTATCATTCATATATACAGTGGGTAATCAAATAACGAACACTTTCGTGAAAGATTTTTATGTTCGGACAACAAACACATGATCAGATAACGAACACCCCACAGAACAAACACAAGAAGAAGCGACGTAAAATAATGAATACCGATTGGTCTTCTCTTGTCTTTGGGCAACAATTCAAAACTTTTTGGAGTGTGGGAGATGTCGACATCGACGCTCAAGCCTGTATATACCGATCAGATAGTATTCCCCTGAACTTTGAAATTCTCCCTTGTAATTCCAGCCTTTTATTTTTTTGACAAAACAATTCTTTTATGTATTTGCAAGACTGTCGAGTAAGCACTCATTAAGTTTTGTGTCTGTTTTTCTTTTTGAAAGGTGAGAGTATAATAGCAAAGGTAGAGAGTGGGCAGAAGATGCCTAATGTTGCTGGGCAGTATGGTGTAAACAGGTCTACCGTAGGCCGCAGTTCAATCTTATTTAAGAAAAATACTGTATAATCAAGAAGACTCAATCAACTAAAGGAGTAACAAAAATCACATCTGAAAAATAAAAAACATCAAATAGTTCATAATGGAACTTGAAACGGATTCTGACGACAGAAGTACGCCAAGAACTTTTGAATGAAGAACACCAAGAAATTCAGCGAGATATGTTTTTTTTCTGAAAAAGAAGATTGATGCCAATATCTGTTATTAAAGATCGTTTGAAGAAGTGGGAGGATGTCTTAGAATGGCATCCAAACCAGGTTGAGGCTTGGGGATTTCTACAATTGCAATGCTATTAATTACTTATGAAAAATCCTGAAGAAGAGAGAAAAGCAATCAACATTAGACAGAATCTTTAACCCTTTCAAATGGAAAAAACGCGATTAATAAAAATGCAAGACCGTGTATGTATGTATGTATGTATTTTTATTATTACATATAAATAAATGTAGTAAGAAAATATATATTTTTTATTTTTGGGGATCTCCAGAACGAATTAATTAAATTCCCATTAAAACCTACAGTAAATCAATTTAAGACAATTAACAAACAATTCGGATAGCGAGCAAAGTCTTGGAATGGATTATGTTCGTAACCGATCACCCACTGTATTTTGAATTCGAATACCAATATATCCAAACATCTTTGTAATTTTAAATAAGTTCTGTATGGTAAAGGAACAGTTGTCAATGTTCTAGAATTTTATACTTGATGATGGCCTGTGCAGCAGGTTGAAAACATTCATTGATGTAATAACTTGTTTCTCAGTGATTTAAGGTGTTATTGTGAAGATTTATCAGAATGCTGGCATGTACTGTACATACATTGAGTCTATATTTTGTAAGGATTGGGTAATAACTACTTATAAATGTTTTGGAAACTTTTGCTTCATTTGCAGACCATTACTTCAAAATTGCTGTTTTCTTCTAGCACACAACTATTTAAAATGAAATGCAGTTCACAATAAACTTTATTTGATTTTTTAAAAACATCGTGAATTAGACCAATTTTTAATTTTTAGAACATTTTAGGAACCATATCCATGGGTCTAAAGTTTATCCTTTTGTATTTTTGTTTAATCATTTCCATTAGTTTGCTAGTAATATGCATTTTTCAACTGTTTTTAGAATAAATTGTTTTTGCTGTGGGAGTGTCTATTCCGGCTTCTCTTCATCTCTACATCTTAGTAAGAGCTGTAATTGTTTTTATTTTTGTGTGTTGTGTGCTCCTAGAGCTAAGTTTCTTATTTTATTTTGTGATTAATGACAATAGAATGGGATCTTTGATCATATCTATTTAAAAAATCAAACACTATGTTTTATTATTTAAATAAATGTATTTAATTCTAGTTCTCTCTGTCAATATTCTATAATTTTGGGTTAACCTGTGAATTGCATATAAACTACAGAAAATTGCAAGAATGAAAATAAATCTTTGTAAAATCTGCCCCACTGTAAACCCCATGCCTCTGTGCAGCTGCTGAAAGCAAGACAATTACCAGTATGCAGTTTATAAATTGTCATTTTAAGCATTAAAAGATTGTTTATTCTGTTTCATTTCTGTTAACAAATCATTCTAGATATATATAAATAACCAAGTCCCAATATTCTATAATAATCAAATTAATTTTTGGATTATTCAGATATTAGTTTGGCTATTCATTAATAATTAATATAAATTAATTTTTTCTAAATGTCAGTAGTTAGATTGCTACTTTATGCTAACATTAACTAACAATTACAATGATTTTTTCATTAAATTTAATTCAAGATAATAATTAATGAAATCTAAACTAAAGATGACATTACCTTTTTTTTGCTTTATCTTTTAAACTTTTTTGTAGAATTCCTTTTACATTAATTAACATTTGTTATTTAAATTTAAAATATTAAATAACTTTCAGTCTCTCTGAAATACTAGGAAATTCAATTAATCAATCAATTCTTTATTGTATGAACCTTAGTTCATTACAAGGTTACAAAAGCAAAAATTAATAGTAATATAATATAATAGTAAGCAAGTTAATAATTTGGTACAAAGTAAAATATAGAGTAATAATCAGTTTTTGAGAAGCACAATATACTAATATCATCTTTCCAAGCCTTAAACCTTATTAAATACTTATCCCTACTAATGTAAGTTCACTGACCTGGTGGAGATTGGGGATTTAAAATCCACTTCTCAGACTCCAGTGTAAGTTTGCCGACTTTTAGAGGAGGATCGTTAATCCCATGTCAATCCTAGGGTCGTTCACGTGTGGAAAAGCTAAGTCGTTCCAATAGATTTTGCATTGCCAGTGCCCAATTATGTGTAATTGTTTGTTATTGAACACAATTTATGAAGTTTATTATATGCTAGTTTAAGATAACTTAATTGTCTAATTTTAAGAGACGAATCCAAAATAAATTATTACTTTTACTGTAATTACCAATATTCTAGAGACTCCAAACTCGTAACACAACATGTATGCTGGAATTTTATTATATAACATAAAAATTTTTCAAAAATATGAAGCAAAGACAATTTTCATTTTATCATAAAAAGTAATTGCCTATACGGGAGCAACATTCACACGATCCTCCTTTTTCTCCCCACCCTTTGACCTTTAATCACCAAAATTTAATAGCATCAATTCCCCTAATACACAAACTTTCCTGCAAAATTTCAGAAATTTTTGACAAAACTCTCATGAATTATTAGCTTCAAAGTGAATGAACAAAATTTTGCCCACACACACACACACACTTTAATGTACTGTACATACAGAAAAACTCCCAAATTGTTTTGCATTTCTCAACATTTTAAAGTCCTGAGACCAAAATTGTAAAAATTTTTGAGGGGGTCATTTTTTGATCGATTGCCGTCTTTTCTTCTGTTTTATATATATATACAGTAGACCCCCCCCTATAACGCTTAGATACGTTCCACGCTAATCGAATTTTACGTTGTAGGAATGATTAAATACATGAGCCAATCGCAGCCCGATAGGTGTGAACTTTATGGACTAAGGCTGTTTGAAAGGTTTTCTTCTATAAAATTAACCAATTCTAGACTAATTCCACTCAACATTTCCAAAACACGTATAATTTTTTTGGAATAATCTGTATAAACTATGCTATAAACAAAAAATTATAGGATTACTTACCGAGTGTGCACCATTCGACTACGCCCGTTGTTCAAAGCTTGTCTTCGTCGCGGAACAGCACACGAAACGGCGGCCGCGATTTCTGATAAATAATTTTTCGCAGAAAAATAACTTGACCTTTGGAGACATCATTAATATAAATAATTTTTATGGCCGTTGAATAAGAAGTGTTTCTTTCACAAGAAATGTATAAAATTAGTGCTGTATTAGACTTACGGTACCTAATTTACATACTGTACAGACGATAATAAACTCAACTTACTAGCCTAAAATCTCCGTAGCGTGTTGCCAGGCGGCAGAAAGCATATATATAATTATAATAAAGTTACAATAAATTAAGTTAATATATAATTATATATACAGTACCTAATTTATATATAATTAATATATAATTATATGTACAGTACCTAATTTATATATAATTTATATATAATACTAAACAGACGATAGCAAACTCAATTTAGCCGCTCCGTAGCGTGGCGCAGGGTCGGAGGAAAGTAGTTCGGCTGCTCATCCACTATTGGTCCAGACTCTATCAATCTTGTCACGAAACAACGTTATAGGAGGTACTTTATACGAATGTTGCTACAATTTTTTTGCTACGTTATAGGAACGCACGTTATAGGGGGGTTGACTGTACTATTACTTTTCCAGCTAATATGAATAAAAAATGTACTATTACTTTTCCAGCTGTTATATATATATATATAACATATTTATAACAAAATAATTCAAGAAAGATTGTCTTTTTCTTTCTCACATCATTTTTGATTCAGTCTTAAAAATATACTTTGAATAAAAACTATAACAGAATCATTTTATTATAATGACTACATTCATTTTTTTTTATGTAATTTTAATTATTTTTAGTGAAAAGTAAATAAATTTTTAAATCCAATAAAGTTTTGTTATAGAAAAAATATTTATATTTATATCATTTCTATTAAATTTGAATACATATATATATATATGTTTTTTCTTTAAGCTACAGATTTAGAAATTACTGATCTTGATAGAGAAATATCTCAAAAAATTGGAGGTACACCTGATGCCAACAGTGAGAATGAATGGTTTCCTGATGTGGCTCTTCGTATTGATCTTGCTATTTTAGAACATGTTGAATCAATGGAAGAAAAGGTTGCTAGTGCAAGTATGCAAGTTAAGGTATGTTTAAAATAAAGTTAAAATGTTTTTTATGTAAAAATAGCATGAGAAATAAATCAAAATATCTTTATTATTTCATGTGTTTCCAGTTCCAGAAAATAATTAAGGTTAAGAAAAATATTATAATGCTGTTGACTTCACTTCCATTTGCAGAAGTTCATTTCACAATTATAAATTCATAAAATTCTGAAGTTTAATTTTAACTTTTACTTAAAAAAAATTAACTAGGAGGATGCTTTATGTAATTGAGTTAATCATGTTTAGATATTCCTGCAAAAATATGGAAGAAAAAATTTATAATTAATTTAAAATTATTTTTAATTGTACTCTAAAGTTCAAACTTAAATTACTTTAAATATCAACTTTAGTAATTTTATATTTTATTTTTGAATTGTATTGAAGTTCTGCTTTGAATACTGATGCTAGACTAAAGTAGTTTGAAAATATTTATAAAGGTTTAAGTGTTTTTGTTGCCATTATGTAGCAGTTAATTATTGTTTGTATATGTTGATTATTTGTTTTGTATATGATATAGAATAAAAATTATTATATTTATGGCTGAAAACAATTTAGATTTTTAATGGAGAGTTATTAGAAAATTTTATATATATGTATATCAGAGGATTTTGATATATACTTATAATGTAGTTTACTATTACTATTAATACTGTATTTCCACACAAATGAGAGTATGCTCTTATATGTGAAAATCATTTGTTTTGGTGCTTTTGATTGACTAATCTTTAATCTGAGCTTTCCAAAAAACACCTAAAAATTACTTTTTTACAACTCCCATTTGGCCATTAACACACTCAAAATAACTTTGTTTTGTTACCTTTTTTGAAAAAAAACAAATTACTGCAGAATACAAGCAACATCATCTTCATTCATAATCAAATTGAAAATAGCTAACAAATACATCATTTACCTTAACCACTCAGCAGTGAGCAATGAGTGTGGCAGTAGTGAGCCTAAATTGCGGTAGCCTAAAACTACCGCTAAAAAAATTCACATAGAAAATGAATTATGTAACAATAAAAAAAGACTTTTCTTTACTAGACATAACTGTTTACAAAATCTTTTTCCGAAACAGTAATGAAAACAAACACGTGGAAAAATACTCTAAAAATTTTGCACATTTTTTCTCCACTACTAAGAGGTAGCACCATATCTGACTATTCCACTGTTGAAAGGTTAACAGTACACACAATGTGAAAAATCTGAAATGATAGACTTATTTGCATACCAACAGGAAACAATGGATCATTTGCAATATGAATTTTTAATTTACATTAACTAATTGTAAAAGAAAAATAATTTAAAATTTTTAACCAAAAAATTCAATTTTTATTCTTTCTTTTTACATACTTTATTTCCCATTTCTTGCTTTTGCACACTTCATTTTTAACTTGCAGCCAAAGTGAATTATGATTTCATCATTCCATAAGCTATGCTATTATTACAAATCCACACTACTCAACACCAGAATACTGTTAATTATGTACTTCAAAGCCTGTTACTGGTGTGAAATTAACATCAAAAATTGAAAAAACGGACTTTCACAAACGTTTTTGAACCCTTAACGGTTCTTCTTCAGGTGGGGACGAATTATTCTAATAGGAATAATGTTCCCCTGGAATTGGAATTGGAATTATTCCAATAGGAATAATGTTCTTATCTTTTGGCATTCTGACGGAAATTTGCCCCCGCCTGAAGAAGAACCATTAAGGGTTCAAAAACGTTTGTGAAAGTCTGTTTTTTCATTTTTTGATGTTAATTTCACACCAGTAACTGGCTTTGAGGTACGTAATTAATTAGCTATGCTATTATTCATGGCATGATGTAGTTCCATAGATCTCAGAACATACCAAGTGCTGCAGTGTGCAGGAGTCAAATAGAACAGTACCATAATAAATATAATTTGTTATTAAGTTAAGATTAATTGAAACTTAAAATAGTATTTAATATTATAATAATAATATGACTGTTTAATTTTTTATTGTGATTAGCTATTGGAAAACTGTTATGTTACATATATTTGATGATGACAAAAGTTTTTCTTTGTACTTTGCAATACTTAAAAAAGTATCAGTTAGTTTTATAAAATTAACATCATAATTTAAAGTATTTGATGTCAGTACCTTAATAGTAAATAATTTTAAAATGAATTTAAAGTAGAAATGTAGGATGATGATTGTATTGAATTTTTTTTTTCAAATTGAGGTTATAGTAGTGATAACAGATATATTCATTCTTAATTGTTTGGCTATTATTGAGTTTACACTGAGTTCAAAATAAGTTTTTCATATGCTAAGCTAATTGGTACATCTAAATACTGTGGTATTTTGTACTTCAAATGCTTCAGAGTTTGAACACTAAATTTGACAAAACTTTGCTTCAGAATTCGAATGATGCTTCAAAGTTCAAACTGAGTAAAATAAGGTTGTAAACTAAGGATACAGTCTCAAATTAAAAATAATATATTAAATTTCATAACTGTTACTATTAAATTTCACAACTGTTACTATTAAATCATGCATTTGTTTTAAGTAGCAACGACTGTTAAAAATATGCAGAAACTTGCTTTTCAATCCAACATTAACTTTACTTATTAATAGCATCCAAGAAGTGTGTGGAAGCAATGAAATCTAACAAGTAAGAGAAAAGAGAGTAATATTTGTAATTGATATGAAAAAGGTACCAATTCTAAAACAGCATATGTGTGGCAGATCTGGCGATTATTTTAAGATGCTGAAGTTGATGGTGCGCAACCAGTAAATGCAATTTTCATTTTATTATAGAGTATTTATGTATTTTATTTATTGTTTTCATGTTTTAATATTTTATTAGGGCATTTAATTATGTTATTTTTATCTTAAATTATGTGTATTTGCTGTTTTTAGTTTATTGAAATGGATATTGTTTGGGGTCTTGGAATGGATTAATTTACGATTTCTATTATTTCTTAATGGGAAAAATTGATTCAGACATTAGTCAATTCAGAGTTTGAACATTCTCCTGGAATGAATTCAATTTGGAGTACAAGGCACTCTTGTAAATGTTTTACAAGGGTTGTTCAACATTGTTTGAGACTTTTGTGTATAAAAAATCAAGTCTAACTGTACGATAAAACTTGCAGAGGACATAACATAATCCTTCTTAAATATCCCACACCTGGCCTGACATATTTGGTGCATTAGCAACAGCTGCAGTGATTGCTGTGGTAAGCAGTGTGTCTCTAGCCATGGAACAGCAATGTATAATCAAATTTTTTGGAGAAAGGGTCACAATTATTTCCCAGTATTATTGCACATTGATGAAAGGTGCTGTATGAAACACCATTTATAAGACATGGAGAGTTGTCTGGAAATGTCATTCTTCTCTGTGACAATGCCTGGCTCAATATGACAATTTGACAGCAGCAACTCTGGCTAAAATGAATTGGGAGATTTTGCCTCATGCTTCTTATAGTCCTTTACACCAAAAGATTCAGGATGCTGTCACAATAATAGTAATGGTACCTGGATGCTAATGGGAAATATTTTGAAAAAAAAATGACATAATTTGGTGTTTGTCAGACTTTTGATTTTTTCTATAGATATAAAAGTCTCAGTCAATATTGAACAACCCTTGTATATTAGTATAAAACTATCTGGTAAGATTTGCTACTTTGATAATATCATAGCAAAGAAATATTATGTATTTTTTTTGAATATTTCACAGATAATAAGGGTTGTATGTATTAATACTATTTTATATAGATTTAATCAACATTTTATTAATATAAAAATTTTTATTAAAGGGGTGGAAGATGCAAGAAAAATTATCTAATGATCCTACAATTACATTTCATCCTGCCTGTGATAGTTCAGCATTTTGCTCATCTCTCCAAGATATAAAGCATAGAAGTAGTGATGAAGAAGAGTCAATTGATAAGAATTCTGATACAAGTTCTGTAACAAATAAAGATGATAAAAATGATAATGCTGATGAAACTGAGATTAATGAGGATTTAGAACAGAGGACTGATGATAATGAGGATGATGCTGATGCTGCTGACGATGATGATGATGATGACGATGGTGGGAGCTTGAAAGATATTAAAAACGAAAAGGACACTAGTGATAAGGAAATGGATAGTTGTAATGACACAGAACAAAAAATTCTTAATCCTGTGGAAGCTGCAAAAGAAAGGCTTTTACTTTTAGAAGCAGCTATAGAAAGACGATATCTTAGAGCTCCACTTGGTACAAGGTGAATAAAATAATTTATTTATATTAAATAATTTAATCATTTCTTATATAGGTATATATATATATTAAATTTTACTTTGATAATTTTATTTTTACTTTAAACATATTGCTAAGTTTTCTTTTATCATCATGATCTGCCCAACTAATGCTTTATGTTTTTATTTATATTTACTCTATGCTATGTATTTTTATTTCAAAATGTTACAACATGGAAAGCCTTACAAAATGATAAAAAGTTAAGATATAATTATTTATTATGAACATTATTCTTCAGGAAGAAAATAAGAATTATTGTTAATTTTGCTTTTTAATAAAATTTCCACAAATGAGAAGTTATAAAACCTGAAATACATCTGACTATATATATAAGGTATAGTTTTATTAATATAAAAATAAAACTATGAAGTAAAATCTCACTGCATCAGTTTTTAGAAAGTTAAAAACAAAAATGACGAATAGGGTAAAACAGTAGTTTTGGAAATACCATTAGTTTCATGAGGTCAACTGCCTTGGTTGAGGCAAATAATGTCTCACAGTTGCCAATTTTTATTCTAAAATGATCAGCATCAAATAACTCCTTCAGCAGTTACTATAAATTAGGGGTTCCCAAAGTGGTCGATATCGACCCCTTGGGTTCGATAAGAGTTCTCCAGGGGTCAATTAATACACGAGGGTCGAAAGGGGGTCGATTTTAACCCTTTACCACCGCCATCGTATTTACGTTTATTTTGTAAACTGTCCAACGGCAATACAGATCAATCAGGTGATATTCATTTAAAAAATTCACCAAAAATCAAATTATCATTATGTTCATATGATAAAATCATGTACATTTATTAATATCTTTAGTGTAATAGTTTAGAATAATTATAATTCCTTCCAATTCTAAATATCTATTGTTAGCAAAAGGTGGTGTCAGGATGGAATTGTCTGGACGTATGTTTCTTGTGCTTTTTCTCTTTTTCAAACAAGCAACAGTTGTTGCCATAGAAACTCAGATCGAGAAACGACCGTTGGTTTTGAAAGCAGGATAGATGATTGGCCACCGAGCATCAGACCACCGACGAGAGCGCTACAAAGTGCTGATTGGTCAATCAGCACTATCTTCAATCCATATAAAAAGATAGAGTTTAGGCGGGAGAAATAAGTCCGCCTAAAGTCAGCTAAGCGAACTTACTGCTGCTGTTTTGTTGTGCTGCAAACATATTGTGTTTTTCATATTAAAAATCTGATTTTAATACCCACAATGTCTGCTAACAATGCTAAGAAGAAATGCAGACAATATTCACAGGAGTATTTGAAATATGGTTTTGTGCCATCATTTGCTAATGAAACTATTCCTATGTGCTTATTATGTGAAAAAACTTTCAGCAATGATGCTATGAAGCCGGAAAAAATGAAAGACCACTTGGAAAGGATCCATTCTGACAAGAAAAACAAAGATTTTGAGTATTTCAAAATGTTAAAAGAGAAATTGAGAGTTTGACCAAATTTGAATACATATTCGAAGTCATCTGCTAGTGTTGACAGAGAAGGAGGGCTGAAGTCATCCTACAGCATTTCTCTTAATATTGCAAAGAAAGGCAAACCATATACTATTGGTGAAGAGATTATAATACCAGCTATAAAAGATGTAATTGAAAATGTTATGGAAGAAAAACTCCCAACTAGTTTTAAAATGCATCCATTACGTGCAAATACTGTGCAACGATGTATTGAGGAAATGGTCGATGATGTGGAAAGAACTTTGACCTTTGAGCTCCAGTATTGTAAGTTTGCTATTCAACTTGACGAATCTACTTTTGGAAGTTCAAATCTTCTCATGGCTTATGTTAGGTTTCACAGCCCATCCCTGAATGACACTGTTATCCCTGACATCCCTGATGAATTTCTATTTGCTAAATATCTTGAAACTGATTCAAAAGGTGAGACAATTTTTTTATGTTTGCAAGATTATTTGAACAAACACAGCATTCCTTTCGGGAATATTACTGCAGTAGCTACTGACAGTGCACCTGCTATGGTAGGCCGTTACAGAGGATTTTTCATCTTTCTGAAGAAAAAGGTTCCCAAAGTACATACTGTTCACTGTGTCCTACACAGGCAGCATCTTGTAGCCAAAAAACTGAGTGGCGAACTTCATGATATTCTAAAAGTGTGCATCAGATCAATAAATAAAATTAAAGCTTATCCTTTCAATTCCAGACTGCTTGCAAAATTATGTGAAGAAAATAATGAAACTTTCAACCAATTACTTTTGCACACCGAGGTAAGATGGTTGACAAGAGGTGACAGTTTGCAGAGGCTTGTTGACTTGTACGACTCAGCTGAGGAGTTCCTTAGAAATATGGGTCCATCACTGTGTGACCAGTTAAAACAGTGCAAGAACCATCTGTTCTATTTGGCAGACCTTTATTCAAACTTTAATATAGTAAAGAAGCATTTGCAAGAAAAAAACGTTACAATTGTTCAAGCTTGAACAATCATAATGGTCTTTCAAGTAAAAATGGAGCTATTTAAATCTTCACTGGCATGATCCAATTTTAAATATTTTTCAAACTTACGAGTACTAAAAGAAAACGAAAAGATCTCTGACCGTGATTTGGAAATATATATTAAACATCTTGATAAATTAAGAGAAGACTTTAAAGCATGTTTTGAAGACTTGAAGAATATGCATGTTCCCGAATGGTTTGCTAATTCATTTGACGTAAAAATAGATGATGAAGGACCTGGCTTAGAAGATGAACTGATTGAAATATGTGTAGATCTTGAAACTAAAGCATTGTTTAAAAATAAAAACCTCAGTGAATTTTGGAGCAATAACAATATTGCCACTAAATATCCCAAGCTCAGAGCAGAAGCCAAACCTTTCTTACTTGCATTCCCAACTTCATACATGGTTGAAGCTGGTTTTAGCCACGCGAACATAATTTTGACAAAACAAAGGAACAGATTGAACTTGGAAAACCGCGGTGATTTGCGACTAAAACTTACCAATTTTCAACCAAATATCCATAATCTTGTTGCTTCTCTTCAGACACATCCATCCCACTAATATCAACTATTTTAATAAAAAGTTATGTTAACATATTTTTAAGGTATTCAGTAGTAGTCGCAAAATGACAGTAAAAAGTTTTTTTTATCCAATATAACTTGTTTTCAAAGATAATTGTGTATTTTATGTATTATGGCGTGTACAGGTAAATTTCCATCTATCCATAATTTTGCTATTATTTTTTTAAGATTATAAATCAGTGGAAAATATCTCCTTTTTTTGTTAATGTTGGGTAAATTTTATAAGATATGGGAACTATAAATTCTTTCATTGGGTTGTTATGCATGTCTCCTTATTGTTTAACATCAGTAACACAATAAATTATTTAATGTTTTTGTAAAATACTTAATCTGGGGGCCAATAAGAAGGCAAATATTCTATAAAGGGGTCAATGGGATAAAAAGTTTGGGGACTCCTGCTATAAATAAAGAATATTGTGAGGCATCTCTCAGGTACCATCATTTTTTTTTTTTTCAGAAAGTATTTGTGTACTGAAAACCATATATAGTGCATGTCCTCCAGATTGAAAAGTTATGAAGGTAGAAATTTTTAAAAATTTTAAACATAAGAATTGTTGAAAAGTGTGTGCTGTGAATCTCAGACACCATGCAACTACTCAAAAGTTAAATTACAAATTACAAACAAATACAATTTAATGATTATAATTCTTTGAAATATATGATACATTACAGTATATCTAAAATACTGATCTTGCTGAAAAAAATCTTTGATTGATATTTGTTTTTGCAAATTTTATGTCTTGATTTGAAGTATGATTTTGTTTTCAAGATCTAGAATTCTTTCATGATCAGCATCACTCATGCCATGAGTATAAAAGAAAGATTTTACTTCATATGATTCAGTTTTGCTTTGTCATATTATTCTTTTCCTCTGCACTTTTTTCCCACATTTCCAGATGCCAAGAAGCTCTCACATAGCTGTGTATAAAAATATACAGTACAAGACAAAAGTTTTAAGACTACTTAGGATTTTCCCAGTAAAGTTTTTTTTAAGAAAGTTTTAACTGTGAATGACTAAACAGAACATAAGTATATCTTTAATACTTACATTTGTATGGTGTATTTAGTCTGTGATTATGGCATAGTTCTAGTATATTTTCTGTGTGTTGTTTTCTAAGACCATCAGAGGTTTATATTTGTGTTATTAGTTTGTTTGTATGCAAGCTTTTTATGTACAGTGGTACCTCAGGTTACGAACGCCCCAGCATACGAAATTTTCAGGATACGACATGAAATTCAAACATATTTTTGCTCCACGATACGAACAAAAACTCACCATACGACGTTACATTAGTTCGCATTTTTCATTTGTTTTTCTTACTACAGTTATTTTTTTTAATGTATTACTTGGCTTTAATTTGAGTATGTTTTTCGCGTTGGAACGAATTATTTGGTTTTACATGTAATCGTATGGGAAAAGATGATCCACCTTACGACATTTTCATGATACGATCTCAGTTTCGGAACGGATTAATTTCGTATCCTGAGGTACCACTGTATTACATTTGCTATTGGTTGTTCATGTAAGTAGTATGTGATTTAGTAAAAATATGTAGAAAGACTAAAATGTCTTTCTATATATTTTCCAAAATTGGTAAATTACATTTTATCCTTGCATATAACAACTTAATAATTAATGTAAGCAACACATGCGCTTTAATGAGAGTGATTGTGATTGGACTGCTTCCCATAACAGTGCAGCTGTGTGCAGTATGCAAAATAGCATCCCTATTTTTACCAGTCTGCAGGTGTGAAAAGATTGAAGAATGCTGACTTCTAGAATTGAGTTCATTCTCAAAATTTGATCAGTTGATTTTGATTAAACTTTGATTTTTATTACATTTTTAATTTCCTTGTCTCATATTATGTAAAATAACAAAGGTCTTTGATTGTTTTCGTGATACAGTGGAGTCAAAGTAACAATGTCCAAGGTCACTAGCATGAACATGCAATTTTTTTCATTTGTTTTTATGCCAATGGTGACATCACTGCCGTGGTTGTGGCAAGTGATTATTTTAGATGGTCCTGAAAACAATCTTATTGACTTGCTAGTGCTTTAACTCAGTTCTTAGTTCTTATTTGGACAGAAAACAAACTGTGCCTAGTTTAAAAACTAACTCTAGTGGTAGGAGTGGGAGCCACCAGTAAATCCACTTATCAAAAGGTTAATGCATCCTGTACATAGAAAGTTTGTTACTAATATACGTTTTTAAACACTTCAATTTAACAAACTTTTGGCAATAGCAAACATTTTTCCTTCAATTAGTCCATTAAATTGAGACCTACTATATTTATTAAGATTATGTTCTATTTTGTAAATATTATCTGAATTATTTTATTATTAATTATAATTTATTAAAATACACAACATTATGTGAAATTTATATATATTTACGTATATATATTTGATAGCAGCAGTGAACTGAAATTATGTTCAACCTCTAGTGGAAAAACACAAAATACAGATGAGAAAGGTAGTGATGATATCCCAGTAGGACTGTTTAAGTGGCGTGAATCCGTAAAGAAATGTAAGACGTCTGGACAACTAGCAATGTGTATCAATCTTTTAGAAACGTGTGTTGCATGGGATAAATCAATTATGAGAGCTGTAAGTTAAATTTTATTTTTATATAAAAACTAATTAAAATTAACTAATTTTATTTTTATAATAACTATTATTGTGGTTTAAATTTCTTACTTTACATATGTTTTTGACTTTTGAACAATTTGTAATAAGTATAATAAATTGAGCAATGTATTGATTTCAAAAATCAAAAGATTGTTCATTTTATTACAGTTATTACAAGTTAAACTCATTTGTTATTCATGGATGATTTCATATTGCATTATTTTTGCATGTTAATATTTCTGTATTCACAATTAACTAAGCCTTTAACAACATAACAACTTTATTGTTAATTACAAAAGGTCTCATGAGCTCTCATGGATGATGAGCATAGGGCTTAAAGTGACTCACTTTTTTAGCTTTATTCATAGCTCCTCTCTTTTTTAGCTTTTTCTGAGGCAAACTTGCTTTTTTAGCTTTTTTCACTTTCCATGTGGAATTTATTTATTTATTTTTGTAAATGCATTCAGGACCAAATAGCGACCAGCACACCCCCATACTGCAGTCCTCCAAGATTCAAGCTGCAAGAAACATATAAATAAATGCAATGAAGCCTTTGGTCCCAAGCAGTTAAAACTGACGACTGCTCCTCAGTTGTCTCAATGTCAAAGTATTAGTGCTGAAAGTGTTGCTAGTGTGAGCAATGTTATAGACTCAGGTCAGCTTAGCCTATAACATTATTCATAACAGATTAGGTTATTGCAAAGTATGCTCACAATGAGTGCCATACCTGCTGAAACCCCAAGACAAAAGCCAGAGAATGGGCCTGGTGTTGCAGCATCTCATACGAAGGGGATGACATATTAGCCTGGATTGTCACAGATGATGAGTTCTGGGTGCATTTCTATGAGCCTGAGAAAAAGCATGCATTACCTGTAAGCAAAAAGTTCAACATGATGCCATTGACTGGGAAAATGATATTGATAGTCTTCTGGGATTGCCAAAGTATATTGCTTATTGCATTCCAGCCTCATGAAGAGACTGTAATGGCCAAATCTTACACTAACATTCTCAAAAAAATGTTGCTATTTAGCAAAAGCAACCAGGACTCCTCACAAAAGATGTGATGCTGTTACATGACAATTTACATCATCATACTGCCATTAGGATTATAGAGACTGAGTGAATTGAAATGAGAAATCCTGGAGTATCCTATAGCCCCAACCTTGCTTCTAGAGATTTCCATTTATTTAGTTTCCTTGTTTAAGGGAACTAAATAAATTCCCACTAATGACACCATAGAGAAAGAAGGCACTATTTGGCACTGATAGCAACTAAAAGAATTCTACAGTACCAGCTTTCAGAGACTTGTAAAAAAATGGGACAAGTGCCTAAATGGATAGGGATTATGATGAGAAGTAAAGGTTGTTTTCATATTAATGACCAATTTAGTTTCATTTTTGTATTGTTTTGTAACTTATTAATGACTTCTTCCTCATTGTTTATATAATGAGGGACAACATTAAAAATGTTTAAGTGTTTCTTTTTAGCATTGAAAACATTATCTTGCCTCCTATATTTTAAAATTTGACTCTTAATTTTAAACATGTGAGTCAGTTTGACTCAGATTTTGTAGTCAAGAATAATTCTTAATGAATAACAATGGTAATTTTAGTTCATGTGTTCTTTTAAAAAGTACATTTGAAAGTTTTTTAATTGCTTTTCTAAGGCTTAGAAATCGCACTTTTGGTAGAAGTGCGTCACAGCCATATGGTAACCTTATACGGAAGATGGTCATGGGAAAGATCCCACTATTACGGCAGGTAATCAAAAAGTTCAGTTTTTCTTTTATCCTGGTTAGGCTAGAACCGCTTTTCTATAACATTTGGTTGGCGCCGCCATTAATACAAAATAAATACAACCTCACCATAAACTGGAACTGTAATATTTGTAACTCACACCTAACTTCAAAATTTCCAGCAAATAAACGTCAAAAATAGACATCAAACGTTTTCGGCCACTAAATTTATCAGTCTTCTTCAGGAAATACAACTGGAAAAACCGTTCTATAAATAGAACTTAGCTGCCTTTTAAATTTTAAAAGAACGAAAAACGACTGTGACGTATCGTGTATGACGTATATTATGAGTCAAGATAGCGTTTCCACGCTGATGATACAGGAATGACATCCATGTTGATGCAGTTTCCACTCATGCTCGCCTTGTAGATCTCTATTGCTTTCAAAAATTTTTATATCTTGCCTGTCAAAAACCTTGTGTATTAGCTTGGCCTGGTCCCAACAGGGGGAAATTCCCGGATCGCTGGCACAAATATGACATGCTAAAAGGTAACAGCAATACCGCTTTAGCACGGTATGCCAGCAATCCGGGAATTTCCCCCTGTTGGGACCAGGCCAAGCTAATACACAAGGTTTTTGACAGGCAAGATATAAAAATTTTTGAAAGCAATAGAGATCTACAAGGCGAGCATGAGTGGAAACTGCATCAACATGGATGTCATTCCTGTATCATCGGCGTGGAAACGCTATCTTGACTCATAATATACGTCATACACGATACGTCACAGTCGTTTTTCGTTCTTTTAAAATTTAAAAGGCAGCTAAGTTCTATTTATAGAACGGTTTTTCCAGTTGTATTTCCTGAAGAAGACCGATAAATTTAGTGGCCGAAAACGTTTGATGTGTATTCTTGACGTTTATTTGCTGGAAATTTTGAAGTTAGGTGTGAGTTACAAATATTATAGTTCCAGTTTATGGTGAGGTTGTATTTATTTTGTATTAATGGCGGCGCCGGCCAAATGCTATAGAAAAGCGGTTCTAGCCCTAACCAGGATAAAAGAAAAACTGAACTTTCTGATTACCTGCCGTAATAGTGGGATCTTTCCCATGACCATCTTCTGTATAAGGTTACCATACGGCTGTGACGCACTTCTACCAAAAGTGCGATTTCTATGCCTTAGAAAAGCAATTAGAAATACCAGACGTCTTATGTACCATAGAAAGTTTTTTATTATTTTTTTTTATTTGAAATACATCAACACTATGAACCAAAGTACTAAACAGTTAAAAATAACCTTGTATTCATGGTGATGAAATGTTTTTAATGATTGATAATCATTTATACATGCTGAAACCCCAAGACAAAAGCCAGAGAATGGGCCTGGTGTTGCAGCATCTCATACGAAGGGGATGACATATAAGCCTGGATTGTCACAGATGATGAGTTCTGGGTGCATTTCTATGAGCCTGAGAAAAAGCATGCATTACCTGTAAGCAAAAAGTTCAACATGATGCCATTGACTGGGAAAATGATATTGATAGTCTTCTGGGATTGCCAAAGTATATTGCTTATTGCATTCCAGCCTCATGAAGAGACTGTAATGGCCAAATCTTACACTAACATTCTCAAAAAAATGTTGCTATTTAGCAAAAGCAACCAGGACTCCTCACAAAAGATGTGATGCTGTTACATGACAATTTACATCATCATACTGCCATTAGGATTATAGAGACTGAGTGAATTGAAATGAGAAATCCTGGAGTATCCTATAGCCCCAACCTTGCTTCTAGAGATTTCCATTTATTTAGTTTCCTTGTTTAAGGGAACTAAATAAATTCCCACTAATGACACCATAGAGAAAGAAGGCACTATTTGGCACTGATAGCAACTAAAAGAATTCTACAGTACCAGCTTTCAGAGACTTGTAAAAAAATGGGACAAGTGCCTAAATGGATAGGGATTATGATGAGAAGTAAAGGTTGTTTTCATATTAATGACCAATTTAGTTTCATTTTTGTATTGTTTTGTAACTTATTAATGACTTCTTCCTCATTGTTTATATAATGAGGGACAACATTAAAAATGTTTAAGTGTTTCTTTTTAGCATTGAAAACATTATCTTGCCTCCTATATTTTAAAATTTGACTCTTAATTTTAAACATGTGAGTCAGTTTGACTCAGATTTTGTAGTCAAGAATAATTCTTAATGAATAACAATGGTAATTTTAGTTCATGTGTTCTTTTAAAAAGTACATTTGAAAGTTTTTTAATTGCTTTTCTAAGGCTTAGAAATCGCACTTTTGGTAGAAGTGCGTCACAGCCATATGGTAACCTTATACGGAAGATGGTCATGGGAAAGATCCCACTATTACGGCAGGTAATCAAAAAGTTCAGTTTTTCTTTTATCCTGGTTAGGCTAGAACCGCTTTTCTATAACATTTGGTTGGCGCCGCCATTAATACAAAATAAATACAACCTCACCATAAACTGGAACTGTAATATTTGTAACTCACACCTAACTTCAAAATTTCCAGCAAATAAACGTCAAAAATAGACATCAAACGTTTTCGGCCACTAAATTTATCAGTCTTCTTCAGGAAATACAACTGGAAAAACCGTTCTATAAATAGAACTTAGCTGCCTTTTAAATTTTAAAAGAACGAAAAACGACTGTGACGTATCGTGTATGACGTATATTATGAGTCAAGATAGCGTTTCCACGCTGATGATACAGGAATGACATCCATGTTGATGCAGTTTCCACTCATGCTCGCCTTGTAGATCTCTATTGCTTTCAAAAATTTTTATATCTTGCCTGTCAAAAACCTTGTGTATTAGCTTGGCCTGGTCCCAACAGGGGGAAATTCCCGGATCGCTGGCACAAATATGACATGCTAAAAGGTAACAGCAATACCGCTTTAGCACGGTATGCCAGCAATCCGGGAATTTCCCCCTGTTGGGACCAGGCCAAGCTAATACACAAGGTTTTTGACAGGCAAGATATAAAAATTTTTGAAAGCAATAGAGATCTACAAGGCGAGCATGAGTGGAAACTGCATCAACATGGATGTCATTCCTGTATCATCAGCGTGGAAACGCTATCTTGACTCATAATATACGTCATACACGATACGTCACAGTCGTTTTTCGTTCTTTTAAAATTTAAAAGGCAGCTAAGTTCTATTTATAGAACGGTTTTTCCAGTTGTATTTCCTGAAGAAGACCGATAAATTTAGTGGCCGAAAACGTTTGATGTGTATTCTTGACGTTTATTTGCTGGAAATTTTGAAGTTAGGTGTGAGTTACAAATATTATAGTTCCAGTTTATGGTGAGGTTGTATTTATTTTGTATTAATGGCGGCGCCGGCCAAATGCTATAGAAAAGCGGTTCTAGCCCTAACCAGGATAAAAGAAAAACTGAACTTTCTGATTACCTGCCGTAATAGTGGGATCTTTCCCATGACCATCTTCTGTATAAGGTTACCATACGGCTGTGACGCACTTCTACCAAAAGTGCGATTTCTATGCCTTAGAAAAGCAATTAGAAATACCAGACGTCTTATGTACCATAGAAAGTTTTTTATTATTTTTTTTTATTTGAAATACATCAACACTATGAACCAAAGTACTAAACAGTTAAAAATAACCTTGTATTCATGGTGATGAAATGTTTTTAATGATTGATAATCATTTTTTAAAAGCTACTATTATTTTTTTTCTGTATTCATTTTCTTGTTTTTTGAAATGCAAATGTCTATTCAAAATATTATTATGTTTTTAATAAAATATTTGATTATTCATTAAATATTTATCTTCAAATGATCAATCTTTATGATTTAATTATTTTTAAATGTAAAATATGCAGATAAAATGAATAATTTTAAATTTTGTTTTCAGAGTTGTCAGTTTTGTCATAATGGAGATAATGAAGAAATGCTCCTATTATGTGATGGTTGTGACAAAGGATATCATACTTACTGTTTTAAGGTGAGAAATAATTATAAATTTTAATTAATAGATTTTTTTTTTAATTTTGAAATAATTTTTAAAATATTACTAAGATATTAAAAGATGTTGTACTAAAGAATATTATCACTAGATATGAATATGTATACAGTAGAGCATCAATTACCCAACTCAATTGGGGACTGGAGTTGGTCGGATAACCGAAAAATATGAAAAAATACATTATTAGTATAGTATATTAGTATATCTCATGTAATTAGTATATTAGTATATCGCTATTAACCTACTTCACGTTGAATTTTCATCGATGTTAAGCCTAACACAAATTTTTTTAAAATAATAATCGTCACTATTGTATCGTTAAAAATTAGAAAATTAAGCCTCATTTAAATAGTGGCTCCCTTTTATGGTCGAGCCATGCTGCCAGCTAAAACACATAAAAATACTATTAAAGTAGCCAAGACATAGCCAAATATTGTAGTGCCACATCACTAGCGGACATTTGAATTTGCCGACTAGAACGGTCGATTAACCAATGTGACGGTTAATTGGGGATCGGATAATCGATGCTCTACTGTATATATTTTCCTAATCTATAAAACTTGCATTTCAGGAAACATTTGTATCATATAAAATTATCAAACTCTTGTAGTTTTTTAACTTTGAGGATAAACTTTCTATTTTGTTTTGAGTAACTTATTACTAAGGATTCTTGTGATAATAAAATACTATTAATTTTTGTTTTTTAAAAAAGTTGTACATTACAGTTTTTAAATTGTCTACTTGCCATTTTATCAGTATTGCAACATATAATGTTTGATATTTCTCTTAAATAATTTCTATCAAAAATTTTTAAACTAAATAAATTTTATCAATTTCATGTATAAATATATAAAATGGTTGACAGTTGCCTATAAATGTTTACATTTTAATATTGTTACTAATCTTCATTTTGCAGTTTTGTATTACAGTCCATCATTTAATAAACTACTAATTTACTTATCATTTTAATCTTAATATATTAAAAAAATTTGAGCAAAACAATTACTCTCTCTTTTTCAAATTTCTTAATTTATCTATTTCACAATTATTTATTTGATTTTACTAAAAAATTTGGTTTTTTAATTAATAATATATCAAAACATTTTCCATTATCTAAACATCATCATTAATATCCTATTTTGGATTAACATAATTCATTTTTTATTCTCAGAACTTTCTAAATTTTTTAATGATTTTATGTTTGTTTGATTTTGCTGTATTTAAGATATCTCTAAGATTCTTTATTGAATATATTTTTAGTTTTTTTTTATTACAATTCATCTAAATTCTTACATAATATGTACTGTACTTTCTGTACAGTACATATTATCTAATCTTTAATTTAAAAATATCTTAATATTATGTTCTTATCATTAGAAAATGATTATAACATATTTATAATAATCTTACATTGCATATAGAGTTAAATTATACTGTATGTATTGTTGAGTTCTAATATATAAATACAATCAAGTCCACTTAAGAGAGCACTTTCTCATGTTCAATTTTCTCCTCTATGTTTTACATTAGCAGAACTCCTGTTAACAGAGCATCAGATAGTAGAGCAGTCCATTCAAATGAACACCATGATAGTGACATTTTTATTGCAACAGTCTGCATAAGAAAACACTATTCTAAGTAAGATTTTGTTATGTACAGTACTGCTAAGAGACATGATAACAGGAATCTCTACACCAGGGATTGGCAATTCGTGGCCCAAGGGCCGCATGCGTCCTGCCTCGCATAAAATATGAATAAATATATCAATTTCCCAGCTTAAGGAAGTATGCAGCAAAAGTTCAAATGTTATTTTCTACAACTTACGTATGTGAATAGTTTTTTCGCAATGAATTTAGTAAAAATAATACAAGAAACCAGCTAATGAAAACATTGAAACTAATTTAAAACTAGCAGTGACTAATATTTAACCAAATATTTCCAATATATTACATTTACATCAATTCCAAAAGCTAAATTAAGTATACTTATGCTAATTTATAATTGTATATGAATAAATAATTGTGATTTACTGACATTTTATTCCCTCTTTTGTCTTGTATGCAACCCATGTCAGTTCAAAAGTTTTGAAATGCAGCCCTTACATAGGAAAATAATGCCCATCCCTGCTCTACACTATGGTATATGTTGGGTGGAGATTTGGTGAAATATTTTATTGGTCAGTTTCCTAATACATGGATATTTTGTACAGAATCATAATGAATGGGTTTTTATCAGACACAAATGAGAATCAATTATACATTTTAAAAGTATCATAAAATGTGTATGTAAAAACCACAGATTCTTATCTTCTTAGGGCAAGACAAGAACAGATTAGTGACCAGCTTTCACATGACCATACTTGGTATTGTAATTATTTGTTTTTATATGTTGTCCCATTAGAGAGCATTCAGAAATTTTGGAGCAAAGATGTTCACATATTTTCAGTTAGATCACTTCCTGTATTTCTGGGAAGAAGTGAAAATAATATAACTGGTAAATATACTGTATTTACTGATTATTTGATAGAACAATTTTGTAATAATCCAATAAAAATATTATAAGAATGGAAAACAATACGTAATCACAGTAAAAATGGGATAATTAATTTTAACACTTTCAAATGTGTTTTAAATTACATAGAGCTCTTGAGACAATGGAGAGAATTGAATATTATTAACAGCCCCCTGGTGATCATGTTACTTGCAGTAAAGGAGTATAATGCAGTGATTCCAAAGGTACTCTCTTAAGCAGACTTGAGTATATAATGATAAATTTGATTGTATTTAATTTGTTTTTATATATATAATCGTTCTGTTAATCTTATGTTTCATGTATTCATTCACATTCTTAGTTAATACAAAATGCAATTGAAAATATTGAAAAAATAAAATTTTATTTTTTCAAAAGTTTAATGGTTTAATTTCCAAGTAACTTTTAGTAGGACATAGAGCCTTAGACAATTGCTAACAACTGTTTATGAACATCATCATATTCAAAATCAACTTAATTCCACTATAAATAAATTTGATATAATTATAGTTCATACTTATTTTGAGTAGTATAGAATTTAAATTTTATGTTAAGACATCTTATGATTTCATTGTGGCTGTTCATCATAATTGTCCATTTTATAGCATTCTATTTTTACTTTCCCTTGGCTCTGAACTTTTCAAGTCTTTGTCTTCTTTGTTCATGCTTTTCCCTATTGTTGTGATGGGGGTTATATGGACCCCTATGAAGAAGAACCAGTCGAACCAGCTGTGGGAGATTCACAGGACCAGAATTGGTCTGGATATGGTAAGTGAGAGACCCTGTAAGTTTGGAGAGAAGATTGCTAAGAGAGTTTCTAAAAACAGTTTTAGAAGAAAAGAGCAGTTATACAGTGTGAAAATACGTACTTATTTGGAAAATGTGATTCTAAAGAATAAAACCATAAGGAATTGGTATATTGAATTTGGAAGAAAGGGACTATCGTAAGTAGAATGTTTTTAGTACTCTTTGACAGATCAGCAACACAGTGTTTAAATAGAAAAATCTCCAATATTGTAACTTTGTGGTCTCTGGTATTGAAGAAAAAGATCCCGTGTTGCCAACTTACTCTGTTGAAATCTTTATTTTTTTCCAAAGGAAGCTGTTATCTGTTATTTCATTAACTTGTCTTTTTTGTTATTATTATTTCTTCTTACTAACAATTAGCTTAGTTTTAGTGAATAAATATTTAGTTTTTAGTTTAATTTTAGTCTAATTATTGTTGCAATACATCTAGTGTTATTGTGACAATAATTAATAATAATTTTTTTTTTTTTTCTTTTTGGCCAGATGGGTTAGTTGTTTTGTGATAGTGATTAATTATTATCATTGTCTGTAGGGGCACCCATATCTTGTGGTACATGTCCCCCTTTTCATCTAGGTTGCCTTCTTTCATCTAATTTCCAAGGGGCCCCAAATGAGAAAATTTGTCACTTTTAGCCTATTCTGCAAATATAAAAGAAACTAATGAACAATATTTGNAGTTTGGATAATATTGCTAAGATGACTTTGTGAAATTTTGTTCGGAAAGAAAGGGCGACAACTAATATCGAATGAATTTCGGTGTAATATGCGAATATCAACCACAGGTAAAAACAAATATTGTTAAGATATGTTGTAATTGTCAATCTATTTATTTGAATTTTGTGTAAATTATAAGAAAGCCATATTTAAAAGCCCAGTAGTCAAGCTGCTATCTACGACCCTGTTTGTTCTCCAATGATTATCGTCGACCTTGTTTGTTATCCAAGTTGTATATGAAATATGAAATTGTCCATCCTGTTCGACATCTGTACAATAGTGGTTTGTGTTTTATGTTGGCTGAAGATGGGCCAATGCCCGAAACGCGTAATGTAAAAGGCCTCCCAACTGAATAAATAGTCAATAAGTTGCCAAGTGTTGATATATGTCACCTTAGTGTGTCTGCAAAGAAACAATAAGCAATGTTACATACTATATAACCTTGCATATAGCCTATTTTTTTATTTTTGACTTTTGATTTTCAGAATGTAACCCCATCATAAGTCAAGGAGAGACTATATATATACAAGGGGCAGTCAAAAAGTTCCTGGAATTGTGATTCCATGCCTGCCATTGTTGAAAGCAGGCATGGAATCTTCCGGAGTTGGCCATCATATTTAATATGATGTCCTCCCTGCTTATGAAAAGCATCCCTTTGAGGTCCATTTTGAGAGTAGGGAACAGCTAAAAGTCACTGGAAGCAAGATCTAGAGAGTAAGGTAACTGGGTGATGACTGGAATACTTTTGTTGGCGAGGAATTGCTACACAAAAAGCGATGTGTGACTCGGTGCATTGTCATGATGGAGAAACCACTGTTCGTGCTACTTGTTGGGCCACTTCCTCATAAACTTGCTGCAGGGCCGACAGCATCTCTGCAGCAGTTTTCCCCAATTTGCACATGAATTTGATATTTGCACACTGCTCAAAC